CTTCAGTAGGGTCGGATAATCCCACTAAACTACTGTACCTAAAATTTGGGCCCCAATGATAAACGCTGCAGTCGTCCAAATCGCACCGAATTTCGTTGCGCAACTTGCTGCGCGCACCCAGAATCACACGAATCGACACACACCCGGGAGGGGGCTACCTTAACCCTTTGGTGATTGATCAAGTCAGGAAAGACAAATGGCTGATTGAGTTTCCGTAGGTGATAAGCGAAGGGTGTTACCTACGAAACTTGAGAAACCATTCTTAAACAGTATGTATGGTGAGGTAGTTCTAAACCGCGATGCTATCATACAAATGGCCGGGAGTAAAAATACAGCGAGTAGCCCCCACGCTACTCAAGTTTCCATCCCTGCGGCAAAATGTTACTTGAGGTAGTGAATGGGCAAAATATTGACTTGTACATCAGCTGGCACTTAACTTGTATTCCTTATTTAAACTCTCAAACTGTGAAGCAGGTACAAGCAGAATAGTGGTTTTCTAGTGACACCAATGGACGTAGTTAAAATCCGACTGCAGCAACAGCGCCATCCATTCCCTAAGGGGCACTGTTTCTACTACTATAATGGCCTCATGGATCATCTCTGCACTTCGTGCGAACAACGGCTGCCATGCGCGTGGTATCAGCGGCCCGGCAATTTTTCTGGAACTATTGTGAGTTAGTTCCAATGATCAAGTTGAACACTACACTTATTCCTTTCAATTCTTTGTTCAGGATGCCTTTGTTAAAATAACACGAAACGAGGGCATACGTTCTCTGTGGAGTGGACTGTCTCCTACCTTGTGAGTACCAGCTTACTTTTACTTACCTGTCTTGTACATTTGTTTTTGAGGGTTATGGCTGTGCCGGCAACCGTGTTTTACTACTCCCTGTATGACAGATTAGTTACACATTTCCAGTACAAGTTGGTTTCGCTTGTAATATCTGACATTTTAACAGAATGATTATGTGCCATTCAAGGTTACGTTGTCGTCGAACATTATCCCCGGAAAAGATATGTCCACCTGATTGGATGGCAGCGATGTTTGCAGGTGCTATGGCAAGAACGGCCGCTGGAACAATAGTCAGCCCCCTGGAAATGATTCGTACAAAAATGCAGAGCGAGCAATTGAATTACCGAGGTGAACTTGGCTAGTTAGCCTGGGTTGATGACTGCTCGTCTGATTGTCTATATGTTCTTTTTTTCAGATATTGGGCAAGCTTTACGTGTCACCATCTCTACTCGTGGCATTTCGGGTTTTTATTTGGGCTTGCTGCCGACCCTGCTCCGTGATATTCCATTTTCAGGTCTGCATGATTTTGATCGCTCAGAGTTTAAAATATAAGAATGTACAAATTTTTTTTTTCATGAAAACACTCTATGGATCGGTATTTCCAGCCATCTATTGGGCAGCTTATGATACTCTCAAAAGGCGACTTCTTGCATGGAAAAATATGTTAGAACCAACTTTTATGACGTCTTTTGTCTGCGGAGCTGTAGCTGGATCGTTCGCCGCAGTACTGACTACTCCATTCGATGTGGTCAGTTTGTTCTTCCCTTTTCAAATAGGAAATTCTGCTTCGGTAATAATAATAAATTTGGATAGAGAAAGTATATGGTTCCAAATAGTTTACCTTGTATACACGTCTGTGAGGTGACTTTCCTTATTGGCTGACCGTTGAGCTTTCGTCGAGACTCACCTGAACTACAAGCGATACTATGAATAAGAAACTTCAAAATTCACTGTTATTGCCACCACAGCTGCACATTCAAAAGTAACAAGGGAAATGTTAAAACTCAAGACAAATCATCATAAAATATGCTCTTGATTTACACATTTCTAACATGCTCGTGCTGTAGGCACCATTTGCAGCATTTAGGAAAATTGAGAGGGTTTATCTCCTCTAAGAAATATGAGTTTGTCTGCTGATGAATTACTTTCTTCATCCATTATTACTCAGATTCTCACAATTTCCAGTGTTGCGTGTTTCATGTTCACACGAAGGACGACAGAATGTCTTGTGGACTTTTCAGATGAAAACACATTTGCAAATCAAACTCGGCGACGAGAATGTGGTTCGAAGAATTTCTCTCTCTGCCATTGTGCGAGAAATTATGCATAAGGGTGGAGGCGCGGCTGCTCTTTTTGCCGGTCAGTGGCGTCTCTTTTGAAAAAAAAACTACAAGGTATGTGTAAGCATTGTTGCTGACATAAGGAATAAAGGCGTTAGTGCCGCTCTGGGCAACTTAACTTCGGCAGAGTATCAGATGTTAATAGTCACATTAAAACTTCATCAATATTGGAAGAAGCTATACTGGCTGTTGACCTTAACATCGACTCACCTATGCGCCAATACGTCGTAGCTTTTTTTGAGTAAACAGTAAGCTTTTCTCTGTTTTCTTTTCTCTTACCTTTCGTCTTTATTCATGAGCTCTTAGTTTCCATATTCTTTGTCGTGATTACTAAATCAAATCAATTGTTGATCGGCTCTACTCAAGGTCAGTCACTTACATTAGTCATACCACGGGGGCAAAAATTCTAATCGTAAAAACTTCAATTTCTTTTCACATGATTTCGCGAAGCGCAAATATACATGAAAGTTTAGGCACGGTTCCGCGAGTAGCAAAGATTGCACCTGCATGTGCGGTCATGATTGGCTCTTACGAATACTTCAAAGTGTATTTTGAACGAACGAATAGACGACGAACTTCTTCCACTTCTAAATAAGTTGTACAGATCTTACCGGAGCTCTTTCTCTCACCCTCGCATCTCACCTCTGATTGGAGTGCTCTGAACTGATGAGAAAATTTTTTTATCTAAGTCGTATGTTCTAGTTAGGCTTGAGTGTTTCCTGTTCATGTTGAAATTGTGATTTTTATTGTTAGCACGATCGCTATCAGTAGTCTAGAATAGTGGATCATGCATGTATTAGTTTTCCGATTTTGTGATCTGTTATGGGTTGCGTTTACAGCCGTAGTTGCCCTTCGAGTGAAAATTCGGTCGTTAGATTCCTTGTTGAGAATGCGTAGTACTTTTGTTGATTTGTTAATAATCGTTGTTGATCATGAACATAGTATGAACATCACTTCAAACTACTGCTTTATGAGCATAATGGTTTATACTATTTAAGTACCGCCTAAACATATTCGCTATCGTCTTACACATGTACGTTCTTCTACACTAATGTATTCTTCTAGATGTCTACGTTTTCAAGCATCAGTAAAAAGCTTGCCAGTCAACGGCCTCACAGGGAGCGCTCTCAGGTAGTATTTCCGAGTCTGAATCACTTGATAGTTCTCAGGGAGGCTTCATTGTATTTCATACCATGCAAATTTTGATCTTGACAATACTCTAATTTTTTCACAATCTGTAGTAGGTTGTTTCAATAATGGAACTATATTTCAGCCAAAATCACGAGCCCATCTGGGTTTACTAGAGAAGAAAGCAGACTATAAGGCTCGAGCAAAGGATTACCAAGTAGGCAAATTTTTGTGTCAGCTGTCAACAAAGTACCTTGTTCTTGCCCCATGTTCGTTACATTTTGATTAACTATTAGGATGATGGGGTCGAGTGAACTGGCTGCGATGGATCGTGACTGTAAAAGTAAAAGTGCAGCAAAAATGCTTTTTAGGAAAAACGAGACACTTTGAAGAAATTGAGGAAGTATGCCTTGGACAAAAATGAGGACGAATATCATCATCACATGATTAATAGCGAGGTCAAGGTAAGTGTTCTTAAATATTATATTTTGCTTGTCGTGATTCGATGCCATTTTGTTCTGTTTTTGGAATGGTTTTCCAGCGGATCTGTGCACATAGGCTGTTCTATCGGGATATGGTGACTTATTCCTCTCTCTTCAAATTCCGAAGATATTTCTCTGACACTTCCCTCTGGTTGGCGCTATTTGAAAAAAGTGCGATGGCAATCAAAACAAAACATCATGTGTGTGTAGTGTAGAGTACATTGGTAAAGGTCTCTGTAGAGCATGTAGGTAAAGAAATGAATTTGAACTGTGAAGCTGTAGATGAAACCAACAAGAATGAAAACGGAAAGCTAATCTTTTCTATAAGACGAAGTTTTCTTTGGGTTATTTGCATGTTTTTATCATTGGCTGTGGTATGGTAAGATGAAAAATAAAGTTAGAACTAGATTCGTTTCCCATATGTGCAGTAGTCCATAGATGCTTTAGTAGGCGAAATGTATTGGAGATCTTATGTCTACAAAAGCTGCTACTTGCTTTTGTCAACCTAACCACAGTCTTTGTTTCGTACGGACCAAGCTAATAACCATGCCCGTTCGTTGATTCTGACGGCTAATTCTTCACTTGAGTCATTCTTTGATTCTTCTCAGTTGGACGGTAGACATTACGAGAAGAAGACGAAAAAGCAGGAAGAAGATTCTGAAGTGCAGAAAAAGCTGAGTGATGTGAAGGATTTGGAATACGTAAAATATAAGCTGCACGCAGAAAACAAGGTAATTTTATAGAATACTTTCTCACGACGACATAATTAAATGAAAACTATCTTTTCAAGAAAATCGAAGAGTTGAAATCGGAACTCCATTTCGCTGATCCGAGTTGTGGCCTAGGTGCCAGTAAGCATACAATTTTTGTCGACGATGATGAGGAAGGTTGGTGGTTAGACTTTGATTCGGTTTGAGTTGCGTTCATGAATTACAATTTGCCAGCTCTTTCGATAGCCTAGTATTTGACTGNCAGGATGATTGTAACGAATATGTGATTAAATTACTTTTTCAGCCAAAACTTTCGATCCTGTTGAATACTTCGGCACTGATGAGTCTGTAATCGCCAGGAAGTATAATCGCCTACGAAAGAACGATTTGGCCCGAAAGAATGTTCTAGGAGCAGAAAGCAAAGAAGATGTTAAAGTTGGTTTTACCGCTTATCTTTGAAACTTGGAATTCGGCGGGATCATTGTTTGTCCGTTCATTCATTTAAAAACAATGCTTTCTTATTCCAGAAAGCTGATCGGTTCAGACGTGCGCGGTATTCTGAACTTATGAAACGACAGCAAAGAGCGAAAGAGCTAGAGGTCGTAGTTGCTAAACTGGAGCTCAAAAAGGTCATTCTGGATTGTGTTTGAATTTTGATATATCACAACAAAAGGAGTCATGTATTTGTTTGTTTTATGCACTAAAGACTTATGACTTAGGCGGTCTGTTTAATTGAAAGGATTCTTGCAGAATTTGGCGCAATCAAAAGGTTCGGAGCTACAACCTGTGATGGAGAAACCAGGCACAGTGAATCATGCTGGAGTATGGAAGTGGACCTATGAAAGGAAGCGATAGTGATTTTGAAAGCCCCGAAACGTTATTGTCGTTATAGTTCACGTTTTTAGTCGCTTGTTGGTTTGAACAATGATTTGCTATCTTGTCCTTAATGGAACACCATTTTTGTCGCCGAATTGTTGTTGCGATNGATGTCTGTAACCGTGACTACTGCCTTGTTGAAGCACAAATCTTCAGACCTGGTTCTGACTGTTGACATGAATTTTGTTGTTGAAATGATTCGTTAAAATGTGATCTTGTTCCTTTAGGCATGTATACTGTTACTTTGGCTGTTATCTTAGCATTTTTCGGCAGAGATTTTGCAAAAAATGAAGAGATTTCGTCAGCTGTAATTGAATTTTCTTCGCGGATATACTAAACCGAAGCAAAAATACATGCAATTATTGAATCAAATCGTGTGACATCTTTTTCAAATTCCTTAGGGTCCATGTGCCAACGTCTACCATCCCCCCTTTACGTAGGTTGGATGTGGGTTCTGTAGTGTAACTGTCCACTCCGATTGCGCAGAGGACGACGGAACATTTCCCAATGCTTACTTCTTTGCGTCTACCTGAGACTACATTCTATTTCCTCATCGAAACCTGTTGAACGCGTTCACGGTGAGTAGGCACAGAGAAGCATAAAGCAGGTGTGACTTCCCTGGGTGCCCTTTTGACGTTTTGGAATGAGTCCATGACGTTCTGAGCGAGAGGGGTATGGGTACTTCTACCCAAAGAACGCGCCGCGCTCACCGCATTTAGCCGCGCCCCATGAAGGGTAAGATACGAATCAGTGGTAGGTAGCGGTAACTGGTGCGAAATAATCGCTGCGTAAAAAGCTGGGCAGTGAGACCTCACCCGGGCGAGAGAGAAAGAAGCCCTCGCACGGATGTATCGGAAGAGCAAAAAAAAGAGATCGGTCGCTAAAATTTGGGGTTAAAATAAGTATTCCTCTGCAAAATCAGGATGTTATGATTGTGATAGCTTCTACCCTCCCATTATAAGATGGCTGCTTTCAGACTTCGACGTCCGTCCGCTGCGTTGAGTGCGTGCGATGGCGGCCCTAGCCACTTGTTCACAACACTGGGTCACTGCATTACGTGCCAACAAGTGGCCAGGGCCGCCGTTGCACGCACGCAACGCGCCGGACGGACCTCGAATGAAGTCTGAACAGCAGCCATTCGCATTGGCTAATCGAGCTGTTTTAGTCGTGTTTAGAAATGGCCATTGGTGGAGAGTACGTCCCTTACCAGAGCTCAAATGGTCTGTAGATGTAGTAATCCACAAGGGATCACTTCAAATCTCTCGCCAACTCATCTCGCAATTAAAGCTGTTTCTGTGATCGAAACATAGTACGGTGAGTGAAACGGTCCTATAACGAATGACTGATTCCTATCTAAAAGCCAGAAGGTTAAAAGTTTTTCTAGGACATCGCAAATGGGACCTCGCTGTGAAAATTCTCTCAAGGCCATTACGCGGAAGTTTGTCAAGTGGGTTGCTCGTGGTGAAGCGGTGAATCTGAACGATGCGGCCTCGGTTCTTTGCGTGTCGAAGCGTCGGCTCTACGACGTTGTCAACGTCCTCGAAGGCGTTGGTATAATAGAGAAATGTGGCATGAATAAGGTACGAATGAGGGATGGAGTTGAAGATGCTAGTCACTCATCGGACCTCTTCTCCGAATGTGCCGTATTACAACAGCTCGAAGTCGAAATCGACCAAAAAGTTCATAAATTGCTGAAAGCGCTGGAAATGGACACGATTGACAATCACTATGCATACATACGTATGCAAGATCTGCGATCTTCCCATACTTTTACAGATAAGACTTTGATAATTGTAAAGAGTTCGGCCGAGACAAACATCAGAACCTCTCTTACCGAATCATCGAACACGGCACAAAGTCAGGTAAAATTCGAGGCCAATGGGAGCGCAACGCTCCAGGGATTCCTGTCTCCTGCTGGCTCATATGTGCATTCGGATTTTGAACAGCATTTGTTTAAATGTGAATGTACGAATTTCTGCTATGGCCCGGCTTCTGCTACTGCTGGTCTTGGCTGTGTGGTCAATGGGGAGGCTACTGGTCTTGGCTGTGTGATCAAGGAGGAACCTACTGATTCAACTGCTTTGGAGGTAAAATTCTTTCCCTGCTTGATGACTATATTTTTGTTTAGAGAACAGCTTTTCACTTTTCTAACCAAATAACTCTGCGTTCTTGCATATACAATCGCAGGCGTTGCCCTCGCATCTCGGAGTAGTACCGGTTAATCTGAAGGGAGTAATATTTGAGTTGCTAGTTGCAGATGAAGAGACAAAGATTCACGATTTACTACGTTTGAGGAGATGTGGCGTGAAAATCTTGAATAGCCATGATTTTCCCGATCTTTTTTATACGCACCCTCAATATCAAACCTCGTAGAGCTTACGTCGCATTTATTTTATATCCCCCTTTCTGTTTAGGTTTTCATAATAAATGTAGATTATTCTTCAAGTGAAGACCTTCTTAGGGTGCTGCTCAGAACCTAAAAGTTTCGGTTAGAGTTACGGTAATTAGCGACTGCTTTACCAGCAAGGGTTGTTTCTACCACACTTATTTACAGCTGAGCATAATTATACTCGTGGAGGTGTTGTATTCTTCTGTATTAAGCGTAGTTCTCGGAAGAACTCTCGCTTTTAGAGTACTGGGTAGTATTTCCAGGCTGTTAAAAACTCTGAGCCCCACTGGGTCCATATTTTGGCATCACTTTTTGCGTCAGAGCCTGCAGTAGTCGGGAAGAGAGCGCCTAAAATGTCGAATGAACTCGAATTTGCGTAACGAATTCTTTTTTTTTTCTTTTTCTTTGGATTGAAATCACGCCAACGCTCAAGAATTTTATGGCGAAAAACTCGGAAAAATTCCAAAAGTCGTCTGCATTCACCTTTATTTCGCTGAGTAGCACTGTTTTTGCTTAAAGTCAAGTGCCCTTTTAGTTTTTTTTTTTTTGTGCTGGTACTGCAGCGAATTGAAGTTACTATGTTCCCTACAAGTTGAAATGTCACGATGCTTTTGGGTAGCGCGACTCAAAAACAGAAAAGCTGTCCAATGTAAGCCTCGGAGAAATAATCCAACTAAGAAAATCAAGTACATTCTAGTTTTTAAGTAGCGTCCAGATCTGATCCAGATATAGATCTGATCGCTTGTTGCATAAACATAAACAGATAACAACGTCGTCAAGACCGATGGAGCCTTTCTAAAATATTTTTCTCTGTGAAGTATGGCAACGATCTTTGGTGTATGTAAAAGTTATTTTCTAATTGAATTTATGATCAGTCGCGGATTAGACCCTGAATCAAATTTTGAAATTTCCAGGATAAAGAGAATTGGAGGCATCTGACACGGTGTAATGGTTTTTTGGCTGTCAGCGAAGTTATGGTGAAGGAGGAAGCTCCCACTACGCGTTCAAAAGAAGTTGGTACAAATTAAGGTTTTTGTTTTTATGCTGCGTTTTCGTGCTGTAAAACGTTTTTGAACAGAGTTATGAATTTTTCGTTTCGGTCCCACCAATTCCACTGCGGCCCCTCCCGTTTTAAGATTTGACGACAGGGTGGGCCAAAATTATTTATGATTACACAGAACTCACATCGCAGAAAACGAATAGAAAGCCAATAGAGCAAACCAATTTCATTAAAGGGTTTATCACAAATTTC